ATAACACCAAGCATACAAAAATAAAGAAAGAATATTAAGAGCTGCAAAGGAAAAAGGCCAAGTAACATGTAAGGCAAACCTATTAGAATTACACCTGACTTCTCCATGAAAACTATGAAAGTCCAAAGGTCCTGGATAGATGTTCTACAAACACTACAAGACCATGGATGCCAGCTCAGACCACTATAACTAGCAGAGCTCTCAATCACTATAAACAGAGAAAACCAGATTTGAACAATACCTATCCACAAATCCAGCCATATAGAAAGTACTAGAAGGAAAGCTCCAACCCAAGGGAAGTTAGCTACACCCACAAAAGCACAGGCAATAGATAATCCCACATTACCAACCCCTCCAAAAAAAAGGGAAACACACACACCAACAACAACAACAACAACAACAAATCTAAAATAACAGGAATCAACAATCAATGATCAGTAATATCTCTTAATATCAACAGTCTCATACATGACCCCAGAGAAGGAGAAAGGTACAAGATCTCTTGAGTAATTTCGGAGTATTGGGAAGTGGGGAAGGAGGTAGGAGAGAGAGGAGGGGATTAGGGGCAGGAGAACATGAGGGATCAGGAAGGTTGAGTTGGGGAAGAACAGAGAAGGAGAGCAAGGAAAGAGATACCTTGGTAAAGGAGCCATTAAGGGGTTAAAGAGAAATCTGGCACTAGGGAAATCTCCAGGGATCCACAAGGATGACCCCAACTAATAATCTAAGCAATAGCCGGGCGTTGACAGCACACACCTTTAATCCCATCTCTCAGGAGGCAGAGGATCTCTGAGAGTTCGAGGCCAGCCTGGTCTACAGAGTGAGTTCCAGGACAGCCTTCAAAACAATACATAGAAACCCTGTCTCGGAAAAAAAAAAGGATCTTAAAAATAGTGGAGAGGCTAACTTAGTGCTCTTAGCCCTATAATGAGATTGATGATTACCTTAATTGTCATCATAGAACCTTTATCCAATAACTGATGGAAGCAGAAGCAGAAATTCACAGCTAAGCTCTGGGCTGAGCTCCTAGAGTCCAGGTGTACAGGAGGAGGAGTGATGAGCAAAGGGGTCAAGACCATGCTGGGGACCTGAGCAAGTGGGATCTCACAGACTCCAGACTGACAGCTGGGAACCTGCATAAGACCTAACTAGGACCCCTGAACATTGGTGTCAGTTAAGAAGATGGAGCAGTCTATGGGGCCGCTGACAGTGGAACCAGTATTTACTCCTAGTGCATGAACTGGCTTTTTGGAGCCCATTCCCTATAGAGGGATACCTTGCTCGGCCTAGATACAGGAGGGAGGACCTTGGTCCAGCCTCAAATGATGTGACAGACTTCGATGATTCCGCATGGGAGGCCTCACCCTCTCTGAGGAGTGGATGGGGTGCGATGGGAACAGTGGGAGGGGGGAGAGGGAAATGGGATTAGTATGTAAAATAAGGTTGCTTTTAGTTTAAATAAAAATTTTTTCCATCAGAAACAAAATTCCATTTGTCTTAAGAGTGTTCCATATCAACAAACCTGAAGGAATCACCCGACCTATAGTACTCACTAGCTCAGGTCTAAGAAAGGGAAAATCTGATAGCTGGAACTGACCAGCAGCCAGAACCTAGAGGAGTAGGAGCTAACAGACTAAGGAGACCTCAGCTGAGGGAGAGCTCCCTAACCCTGCAGTGGCCTCAACACAGAGTGGAGTGATAGGCAGCTCAATGAAGTTCTGTACGAACACATAACTGAATTTTCACAAACTTCTTATCTTATCAGACTGAGCTAAGGGGTTGGATAGCTACTGCTCAATTCATCAAATATTGGTAGAGTACTTCCATGGTGCCAGGCCCTGTATGAGTTCAGAGATTACAAAAATGAAGTAAACAGCCCCTGTCCCCAGAGACCCCACCCAATCCATTCTGTATGCCCACACACCCTTTGCACTCTACCAGCCCAATTTCTACCCAGCTCAAGTTCTGCCTAATGAAGTGGTATACATGTCTATAAACCCAGCACTCAGGAGGCTGAGGCAGTGTCCCAAGTTCAAAGCTAGCTTAAACTACAGAGTGAGATCTTGTCTCAAAACACAAACAAGAAAGAAAGAAAGGGGGGAAAGAAAAAAGAATAGGGGATAAATAATGTAATTATATTTGAATTAAAATTTTAAAATTTCAAATGATTTTGTTAGCTAAAATATCAAAGGGTGTGTTCTTGTGTTATCACCACATTCATTTACATAGCCACCAATTCAAATTTATTTGTGACACTGTGGCACAGAATCAACTTGTTGTTATAATGTTTTTTAAAGCTTCCAGGGCATGAGAGATAGTTCAACGGTTAAAAATATGTGCTGCTGTTCCAGAAGACCAAGTTCAGTTCCCAGCCCCCACACTGGGAGGCTCACACTGTCTGTAACTATAGTCCTAGGGAATTTGATGCTCTCTTCTGATCTCTCCCAACTTCTGTACAAATATGGCACACACACAAATAAAAATTACATATTTCAAAACAACAGGGGTCTAGAAAAACAGCTTAGTGGTTAAGAGTCCTGGCTGCTTTTCCAGAGGACCTGGATTTGATTCCTAGCATCCTCAGGGTGGTTCACAACTATCTGTAACTCCTGTCCCAAAGGATTCAATGCCCTCTTCTGGTTTCCTCAAGAAGGACATGATGTGGTACACAAACAGACATAAGGTGAAACACCCATTACATAAAAAGAAATCTCAAAAAAAATTTAAAGCACACACCTTACCCGATTACCATGTCAGTCCCAGTGAACACCCGCCACCTTAGAAAGGTGATTCCATTTGTACCTAATCCCCTGATTAGACATCAGCTCTTGAAAATAGAGACTGTCTTTAGATCTTTCTAGAAAGAAACCACATCAGTGGTATCAGACTAAGACCAAGCTATCAATCTGAGGAGAGTGCACACTACCTAACACAACCCTCTAGCATGTTACTGGGCCAGGACAAACTGGAGAAGAGAAATAAGAAAGAGGGAGGGAGGGAGGGAGGGAGGGAGGGAGGGAGGGAGGGAGGGAGGGAGGGAGGGAGAAGGAAGGAAGGGAGGGAGGGAGGGAGGAATTAAAATGCAGGAGGCAGAAGCAGAACAGTTATGAATTCAAAGTCACCCTGAGCTCCAGGTTAAGATTTTATTTTTAAAAATAATTTTTATCAGCCGGGCGGTGGTGGCGCACGCCTTTAATCCCAGCACTCGGGAGGCAGAGGCAGGCGGATCTCTGTGAGTTCGAGGCCGGGCTGGACCGATAGCCTCCAAAACAATACAGAGAAACCCTGTCTCGTAAAAACCAAAAATAATAATAATAATAATAATAATTTTATCAATTCACTTCTTTTGGAGAACCAAATTCATGTATTCCCTCACTCCTGGGGGTTCTAGGAAAAACTTCCTAGTTCACTGTCCCTACGGCCCTGACAAATGTCACCCAGCACTCAAGTTGAGCAATCCCTCTTTCTTTGGCACATGCCTAAAAGTCTCTAGAATAGACACCAAATTTAGTGCTGATGTTCCAAAATTGTTATAATTTGGGTCTTCAATGCTTCCCAAGGGCCGGTGAGATAAAAACTTGGTGGTGAGGCTATTGAGAGATCAGAAGAACTTTTAGGAGACAAGAGTTTGGTAGAAAATAATTAGGTCATGGTGGAGTACACACCATTAAAGGAATATTAGGATCCTGTTTCTCACTGTCTTCTTTGCTTCCTGGCTGCTGTGAATGCAGTTTTCTCCACTATGCATCCATGATCTATCTCTCACAACACAGGCTCCAAAGTGACAGGGCAGACTGGCCATGGAATAAAACCTCTAAGACTGCAAGTCAGAAATAAAACTCCCCTCCTTTGTGAGCTACATGCTTGCCAGGAAGTTGGCTGGCACAATCACCTTAATGTTGACCAAGAGCATTATCAGCTTTCTCCTTTTGCCTTGGGCCATTTGCAGAGACTGGAACCACGATCCCCACCAATGTGGGCAAACAGACTTCAAGAGTTCCTTCTTGCCCACATAGTTCCTGTAGTCCTCACACCTCCTTGGACCTGAAGCTCTGCCGATCCTCCACAAATAAAATCGTGTAGACTGGAGCAACTAAACCCTAACAACTTCCTGATGAACAAGAGGAGCTTAGTTTCCCCCCCAATGCTCCAGGGAAGGGTTTTTGAGTAAAGGTAACTGCCTCTGATTTTGTTTGTTGTTATTTTTTTATGGTGCTGAAAACCATACCCAGAGCACTGTACATGTTAAACAACTATTCCATCACTAAGCTACAGCCCAGCCCTTCATTTTTGATACATTTATTTAGGGATGAGGGTGAGTCCTGGGGATTGAGTTCAGAGGATTAGCTTATCGGCCACCAGCACTTCATTTTCGTTTTTCTTTCTTTCCCTCCTTCCTTTTTTGGTTTTTAGGTTTTTGGTTTGGTTTTGTTTTCTTGACTTTTTGAGATAAGGTTTCTCTGTGTAGCTCTGTAGACCAGGCTGGCCTCAAACTCACAGAGATCCGCCTGCCTCTGCCTCTGCCTCCTGAGTGCTGGGGTTAACGGTGTGCATCACCACCGCCTGGCCCTTCCTTCTTTTTTTAAAGTAGGTTCTGTCATCAAGTCCTCCTCCCCCTGCCCAGTGCTGGAACTGCATATGCACACCACCACCACAACCTGAACTGCCTCCTCTTACTCCAGCTCTGCTTGCCTTTGGGTGGTTGGGGAACAGGAGGGAACTGTCAACAGCATGAGGACAGGGCAACCGCCAGACTCCGCTGCTGGTACTTGCGAGTGGGTGGACAAAGGAGACACACCAGCCAGCCTCTCTTCCACCAGGCTGCAGGGCCCATTTGTTGCTATAAACAGCCGAAAGGTACAAGGAAATTCAAGGGGGAAAAGCTAAGAGAATGAAATAGCATGGCAGCGTGAGGACTCAAGGCCCACTGCCAAGCTGTCCGTCTCGTTCCTTCCGAGCACTGCACTTCATCTGACCAGTCTGACCTCCCACATTCCTGTAAAGTGCCTAGTGCAGTCTGTTACCAACACCACCAGCACCGCCTTCCTGTTCTTGCCTTCTGATGGTTTGCTCTGGGGTGGGATTAAATCGTAGACGCCACCCCATCCATGCCATTCCAAGAAATCAGAAGCCTCTAACTAACTGGTGACGAGCCACACCGTCGTTAAGCAACAGCAGACAGCCACAATGAAGCTTCTGGTCTCTTGCTTCCTTCTGTTGCTGCCAGTGATCTTCATGTCCATGGTCTCCAGCAGCCCAAATCCACGTAAGTGAGATGAAATCATATTCTCTCTTTTCTTTCTCTCCCTCCTTTCCCCTTTACCTCTCCCCACATCTAATTTCCTTCCCCCTTGAGGCAGAGTCTTGATACGTAGCCCAGGCTGACTTGAAACTTATACTCTTCCTACCCCAGTATCCTGAGTACCAGCATTATAGACATGTACGACCATGCCTTGCTCAAGATTAATTCACACCTCACCTGCAGCATGCAGACACACACACAAATATTAATTTGATATTAATGGAGGAAATGGGTAGAAATGTGGCAAACATACAACATGAGTTTAGCTAAAATGTTCTTTTAGCTGTGAGTTGGGGCAATTCAGTTAGTCTTTCCCAGTGCCAGTATCCTCATCAACAAAACGGAAGGAAGAAAGTAAAGAAATTAGGAGCGCTATGTTTTTCAGAGTGTGGCAGTTAAGCCACCGATGATACAAGGTAAGGCAGTCCTATCACCAGGTAGTGGCCACATACTCTGTTAAAATGGTTTGCCTTTGGGAAAGCAAGTCTTAGTAGTGGTTCTGAATCTGTTCCAGTTTTCACCAGAACCAGTGTGGCCCAGCCCTTCACAGAACCACCACACAGAAGCCAGATAATCTCCATGCACCTACCTTCCTAGTTGAAAACACCATCCCCCTCAAGCCCTCGGCTATTTGGGAGCAAAATAACTTGTGGCATACTCAGCATCATTCCTAAATTTAGGATCACCTGCCTTCTGCAATGTTCAACTTCTCTCCTTTCTAGAGAAAGTTCTTTGGAAATTTCTGGGCTCTACAATCCTGGGATCCAAAGCACCACCCTGGAAGGGAGGGCATCTCTATCACTACGATGAACACAGGGCGAGGGTCCTCCCCACAGACTCAAAGCTCTAGTCCCTACCCACCTTTCCAGTCCACTCTCTCCCACTCACAGAGATACACTCTATGCCCCTGAGACTAGACTACAGATCCCCAGCAGGTTTTCAAACCAGCTCAACTTTATTCGCATATCCAGCTCAAAAGCTAACACCTTCCGACTCCTCCCACAACCACACGCAGCTCTCCCCCTGCTGGCAATGCTCAGTTCAAACAAGACTCTTTTTGCACTTATCATAGTTCGCCACACACTGTAGAGGTACCTCTTCTACTTGTCCTCCTGCCCTGCAGACTGTAACCTTAACCACCTTGGTGGCACAAACTGATGTATTGTTTCCATAGCCCTCGCACTATCCAGCATAGCACTTAGTAAATATTAGCTAAGTGCTCAGGTTCTAAGTCCAGAATGAGTCACTTCTATAACTCTATGCCAGGGTGTGTTAGCGATGTTTTTTCTTGTTGCTGCTAGTGTGAGTATGTGTGTATCAATGGGGATTAAACATAGAACCCCATGCATCCTGGATGTGTGAGTAAAGTTGAGCTAGTTTGAAAGGGGAGAAAGAAAAATGCAATATAAAAGAATGTGTGATTATATTATAAACAAATTACTTATAATAGATTACTCCCTATTTGTCTTATTACTTAATTATATTACTTAGGATACCAGCTGACATGTTAGGAAATTCTGTGCTGCAGGCACTGTTTTAAGTGTTACAATGAAAACATTATGATCTAATTTTGTACTTACAAAATGTAATGGGGGTTGGAGAGATGGCTCAGGAGTTAAGAGCACTGGTTGTTCTTACAGAGAACCCAGGGTTCAATTCCCTGCACCCACGTGACTGCTCACAATCCTACGTAACTCCAGCCCCAGGAGATCTGATGCCCTCTTCCAGCCTCTGTGGTCATTACATGCATATGGTGCATGAACATAAGTGAACTACTCATACACATAAAAATTAATCTTTAAAAACAGGAAGGGCTGAAGAGATGGCTCAGTGGTTAAAATCCGTCTGTTCTTTCAGAGAACCTAGGTCCAGATGCTAGCATCCCAACTGTGGCTTACAATGTCTGTAACTCCAGTTCCGGGGGATCAGATACCCTCTTCTGGCTTCTGCAGTCACCAGACACACCATGCACGGATGTACATGCAGGCAAAACACCCATATGTTGTGGAATAATCCTTTTTCACACTGTGAAGATGTGTCACTCTGATTGATTTAATGGCCAATAGCTAGGCAGGGTGTCCAGGCACAGAGGATGCTGGGAAGAAGGGCGGAGTTGGGAGGAGAAGTCAGGGATGCCGAGCAAGCAGCATGGGCATTACCAAGTAAAGGTAACTGAGCCACCTAAAAGAATGTAGATTAGCCGGGCGGTGGTGGCACACGCCTTTAATCCCAGCACTCGGGAGGCAGAGGCAGGCGGATCTCTGTGAGTTCGAGGCCGGGCTGGACCGATAGCCTCCAAAACAATACAGAGAAACCCTGTCTCGTGAAAACCAAAAAAAAAAAAAAAAAAAAAGAATGTAGATTAAAAGATATAGGTTAATTTAAGTTATAAGATGGAGTTAGAAGCAAGCCTAAAAGCTGGGCAGTGGTGGCGATGCCTTTAATCTCAGCACTTGGGAGGCAGAGGCAGGCAGATCTCTGTGAGTTCAAGACCAGCCTGGTCTATAAAGCAAGTTCCGGGAAAGGCTCCAAAGCAATACAGAGAAACCCTGTCTGGAAAAAAAAAAGACGGAAGGAAGGAAGGAAGGAAGGAAGAAAGGGAGGGAGGGAGGGAAAAAGGAAAAAGAAAAAAAGAAACAGGCCTAAGCTATAGGCCAAGCTTTCTTAATTAATTAGAAGTTTCCATGTGGTTATTTGGGAGCTAGCAGGCAGGACAGAGAAAGACTCTCTATACCCATACATATGAAATTAGAATTTAGAAAGCCAGGAGGTCATTGACACCGTAGCATTAGCTAATTCCTCAAATATTCAAAGTGTCCTAATTCTTCCACTAGCGTTCTTGTCCTCGTCCAGAGACCAATTCAGAACTCACAGTGAATAAAACTACCTGTCACCTCAGCGTCCTCCAAGCTAGGGTGGCTTCTAAGTCTTCCTCCCCTTTCCCGGGAGTTCCTGATATATCTCTGAAGAGTAATGGAAGGTAGACTGTCCTCAGTTCCGGTTTTCTAGTGTTTCCTCATGACTGAGTTCTGCTCATTCACTTTGCACAAGAATTATCACAGAAGGGCTGGCAGGAGTCCTCGGTGGGCAAACGTGCGTGCAATGGAAGTCTGGTGGGCTGAGTTTGATACCCAGAAGTTACATAAAAGTGGAAGGGGAGAACACACTCCACAGAGTTGTCCTCTACGCTCCACACGTGTGCTATGGCTTCACACTTCCCCCAACTCACACCATGTGCACAAACAATCAGTAATTTAAAATGCAAAATATCACAGAAGTGATGTGTCCGTCCCAGCACAGCACATGAGAAAGTTCAAAGTGCCTCTCCTGCTCCTTACCAGTGATCCTACTCAGAACGGGCATCTGCAGATTTGTCTGCTGTAAAGTCACTGTCTCCTTCTTGGAATTAATAACCATCTTGTGAACAGATGCTTTGAGGCTATGCCAATATCCTTATTCTTTTTAAAAATAATTCATTTTTATTTTCTGTGCATTGGTGTTTTGATTGCATGTATGTCTGTGTTGGATCCTGGAGTTATAGATAGTTGTGGGTGCTGAGAATTGAACCCAGGTGCTCTGGAAGAGCAGTTAGTGTTCTTAACTGCTGAGCCATCTCTCCAGCTCCAATATTCCACTTCTTGTCAACATACTTTTGTGCTACTAATTTTCAGAAGCCATTTATTCTTGCCTATAAAAATTATGACTATAGTATTAATCAAATAGTGATTATTTGCTACCCAGAATTCTACTATAAGATAAAGCTCCTGTGGCTGGAGAGATAGCTTAGCCATTAAGATAACTTGTTCTTACAGAGGACCTAAGTTCAGTTCCCAGTGTCCACACCACCAGCAACTCCAGCTTCAAGGACTCCTAGGTCCTCTTTCTGGCCTGCACCTACATTCACGTATGCATACACACACATGTGCATACACAATAAAAATAAATCTTAGAAAAAAGAAAAGGCACTTCCCTTTATTTTTAAGATGTATTTTTCTTTTCATTTAAGTGTGCCTATGTCTTTGAGTGTCTATGGAAGCCAGAGAAGGTATCAGGTCTCCAGAAATAAAATTAAAGGCAGTTATGGGCCACATGATGTGTCTCCATCATTTCTTGACAGTTCCTGACCTTCTGACACAGGTTCCAGGTTTGTCTTATAGTTTCCTGCTCCTGGGAAGAAGCTATTTCCAGGATTCCTGGTTCTTCTTGTGGATGTTGAAACACACCCTTTGCTAGGATGAGCCATTGCTTCTCTCTAGCCCTTCCGGTAGAGGACGGAGATGGGAAACAACACATACCAATACCCTGCTAGCCACATTTTACAATTTACAGCTAGCTTAGCAACCTATCTTTAAAAAATTACAAAGTAAATATGTGGTAGGACTGACAAATCAAAATAATGGTATATCAGCTTGGCATGGCGGTGCGTACCGGTAATCCTAGCACATGGGAGACAGAGACAAGGAGATCTCTGTGAGTTCAAGACCAGTCTGGTCTACATAGAGAGTTGCAGGCGAGGAATGCTGCACAGTGAGACCCTGCCTGGAGGAGGAGGACGGATCGGCCAGTGGCTGAACAAGTAGAACTAATTTTTCCCCAACCTGCCAGTACAAAGCCAGAAGCTAATGATAGATGCTCTGTCTTCAGAAAAGGCAGGTGTGTTAGCACATGCCTGAAATCCCAGCACCCAGAGACTAAGGGAGAAGGGTCAAGTGTTCAAGGATATCCTTAGCTATTTATCAAGTTTGAGGTCAACCTGAACTACATGGGGCAAAGGGGTAGAGAGATGTGGAAGGGAAGGAAAGGGAGGGAGGGGAGGGGAGGGGAGGGGAGGGGAGGGGAGGGGGAGAGGACAGAGGGAGGGAAGAAGGGAGGGAGAGAGGGAGGGAGGAAGGGAGGGAGTCCTCAGTAACAACGACAATAACACTCATGTCCTGAACCTATGTCTGGACACGGGACATTCACAGTAGTTCATTTATTCCTCAGTAAGGTGGGCATTACTTATCCTTGTTTTGCAAGTCAGGCATTCACAGACCCAAGAAGTATACATCATACAGTTAAGTGGCAGAGCCTGTAGGAAATTCCAGGTCTATCTGGATAGAAAGTCCACTGGGCAAGTGTTTACCAAGACTAATTTTTGATGAAACATAAATTTTCTTTTTATAGCCTTAATAATAACTTATTTATTAGAAAATAAAGTATCCCAGTACGACCTTCTGGGCAAAGACAAAGAGAGAGGAGGAGAGGGAGTAAGGATAGGCATAATACTAAGAATGCATTAAATTTACAATTCCACACAAGGTGAGGCTACTTTGTAAAATAAATTTAGAGGGAAAGTAAGAGGTAAATAAACAAAAAGATTGGTACAAGTTGGGGCTGAAGGGATGGCTCTTTGGTTAAGGTCACTGGTGACTCTTGCAGAGGACCCAAAACTGGTTCCCAGCACCCATATGGTGACTCACAGCTATACATAACTACAGTTGCAGAGGATGCAATGCCCTCTTCTAGGCTCCAAGGACACCAGACATACACGTGATGCACATATATACATGCAGGCAAAACACTCATACAGACAACATAAAATAAATCTGTAAAAATTTTAAATTAAATAAAAAACAATGTGTTCTTGATCAGGGCATCACATCTCTCACCTGTAATTCTAGCACTTGGGAGACAGAAACAGAGGATCTAGAGTTCAAGGTCATCCTCACTTCTGTAGTGAGTTCAAGACTATCCTGATCTATAAGAGACCTTGTCTCAAAATAAAATGATGATGATGGTGATAATGATGGAGTTTGTTGTACTTTCACATTTTTCTCCAATAGTTAACCATTTCTACATATCTAAATGTAATCACTTGTAATTTAAAATCTTCTATATTTAGAGACCCAACTAACTCATCTACAAGATTTCTTCTGGCTTTAATATTTTATGGCTTCTTGTTGAAAGGAAGAAGGAGAAAAAGCTAGAAAAAATTAGAAGGCAAGGGCTGTGCCCATCTAAATTATTTTAATAGTGCTCAAAGCAGCCCGTGAGAACACTGGAAAACAGCTCTGGGAAATGAGGCAGCACCGCCTCTGTGTGGCAGACAGGGCACAAGTCTGGGAACAGGAGGCCTGCACTGAACCACATGACCTCTAAGGAGCCCTCTCCAAAGGCTTGTCCATGCACCTGCTGAACAAACACTATCTACCGTGAACCACATGACCTCTAAGGAGCCCTCTCCAAAGGCTTCTCCATGCACCTGCTGAACAAACACTGACTGCCTACCATGTGCCAGGAACAGTGAGCTCCCGCAGTGCTGAGCCTCGGGTTCTGAGGCTAGTGCAGGAGAAAGGTTTCATTTACATTTGTCAGGAGTGTCATAACAAGATACTACAATTGGGGTGGCTTTAAGGACAAATTTGATTTTTCTCACATTTCTGGAGACTGGAAATCCAAGGCTGAGGTCCCAGAAGGTCGGAATCTCTTCTGAGGCCTCTGTCTTTGGCTGACAAATGGCTACCATCTTAGTATAGATTGCTATAGTGCCACACTGTTGACTGGATGGCTTAGAAACAGCAGAAACTGCCAGGCGATGGTGGTGCATATCTTTAATCCCAGCACTCGGGAAGCGGAGACCAGCCTGGTCTACAAGAGCTAGTTCCAGGACAGCCTCCAAAGCCACAGAGAAACCTTGTCTTAGAAAGTAAGTAAATAGATAGATAGATAGATAGATAGATAGATAGATAGATAGATAGATAGAAAAGGCAGAAACATATTCCTCATAGTTCTGAGATCACGGTTTTGGTATGATTGAGTTCAGGTAAGAGTCATCTCCCAGCGTGCAGACAATCCTCACACACTGGAAATTAAGGCTTCCCAGGGGTCCCTTTCTACAAGGACACTAATCCTACTCCTGGGAGTTCTACCTTCAATCTAATTAACCCCACTAAGCCCCCACTTCCTAATACAATCACATTAGGGGCTGGGATTCTACGGAAACTTTCTAAGATGCATTTATTGTATTTGATATATATGAATGCTTTGCCCGTGTATATGTATGTGCACCACATGCCTGCAATGCCCCAGAGGCCAGAAGAGGAAGTCAGGTCCCCAGAAACTGGAGTTACAGTAGGTTGTAAACTGCCCTGAACCCAGATCCTCTGCAACAGCAGTAAGCGCTCTTACCTGATGCCCTGTCTCCTCAGCCCAACACAGAGGTTTTAAGGGGACATATTCTATCAGTGTCTTGCTGGGCCATCAGTCAATGGTTTTTCCTCTATGTGTGCACATCCTTAAGGTCATTGAGTGGGGAGGGTTCAGACAGAGACAGGGTTTCTCTGTGTAGCTCTGGCTATCCTGGAATTCACTCTGTAGACCAGGCTGGCCTGCAACTCTGAAATCCTCCCACCTCTGCTTCCTGAGTACTGGGATTAAAGGCGTGAACCACCATATCTGGCTCGTTTTCTTATAAAACTAGATTAAAGAACACCACAAAGGCTTCATTTTATCTTAATTGCCTTTTCAAAACCCTATCTCCAAATATACTCATTCTGAGTAAGTAGAGGTTAGATCTTCAATATGTGAGTTTGGAAGGACAGCCTCAGTCTATAACAGATTTCAAATCACAAATTACACAAGAATATTTCAAACTCACCTGTAAACCCAGCAATTGGGATCAAGGTTAGAGAGATTGCTGAAAGCTCACGGACAGCAAGATACTTTCCCAACCGAAAACAACAAAAATGAGCTGGTCATTGGCAGAGGTGGAAGTTGGGGGATCAGGAGCTCAGGTTCAACTACAGCTATAATACGGAGGCCCTGTCTCAAAGAAAGAATAGCTTAAATACAATAAGAAACATATGAAGGCATATTGATTGTTTTCATTGTGCTATGGATCAAATCCAGGCTGTCACACATGCCAGACAAGCACATAAATTCCCAATCTGTCATTGTTGATTTTAACAGGAAATATTACCCACTGAAATCAGAGGAGGAGTCGTGTGGGCCCAACTCTAGCCCGAGACTCTCACACCTAAAGCCTTTCTTTTTATAACTTTGTCCTGGCTGGCTGGCTGTTGTCCACTGGGCGCAGCCTCAGTTAGAAGGCACCTCCTTCTAAGACTGGCCTGTGGGGCGTTTTCTTGGTTAATGATTGGTGTAAGAGGCCCAGCTCACTGTACATGGTAAGACCCATAGGTAGGTAGTCTTGGCATGTATAAGAAGGCACACTGAGCTAGCCAGGAAGAACGAGTTAGTAAGCAGCCTTCCTCCATGACCTCCACATCAGTTCCTGCCTCCAGGTTACAACCTTGAGCTCCTACCTCCTTCCCTCAAGAAGTGATGGGTGTGGCCTGAGTGTTGCAAGGTGAAGTAAACCCTTTCTTCCCAAAGTCGCTTTGGGTCATGGTGCTTTATCAGTGACAGAAACACAGAACACATTTTGTATTATATCCCGTTAATTATTTTCTGTGGGTGGGTACACATGCCACACAGAGGGAATGTACGGAAGTCAGAGGACAGCCCACAGCAGTCAATGTTCTGCTTCTACCATGAGTCCCAAGGATGGAACTCGGGTTGTCAGGATTGGCAGCAGGTGCCTTCCCTGCTAAGCCATATCACCCATTCTTAAACCTTCATCTTCTGTTGTCATAGAAATATGTTAGGGGTGGGCCTGGTGGTAAGCACCAATAGTCCCAGCTACCAGGAAGCAGATTCAGATGGATCACTTAAAACCAGGAGTTAGACATACATTGAGCCACATAGCAAGAGTCAGATAACAATATATAGGCATGAATGCAACGTGTCTGTCTCAGAGAAACAAACACAAACACCATCCTCTTAACTGTCAATTGTGGATTCAAACACAGCAACTTGGAGGTCAGGTAGAAATTTTGTTCTACAGTTACCCACTCCTGGCTCTCACCTAAGTTACCAGTATTTTAATGAGGGATGTGGGGCTTGTAGTCTTAATAAGCCTAGTATGCCTTTCCTTAGATTCAGAAGCCATTTTCTTCACTTTCTCAGCTAAGGGTTTCAGTAGGCCTTATTTTTTCTTTAAGATTTATTTACTTTTGCTCTATACAAAAGTGCCAGTGGGGGTCAGAAGAGAGCATTGGATCCCGTGAAACTAGAACTACAGACAATTGCAAGCCTCCATGTAGGTGCTGGGAATCAAATCTGGGTTCTCTCTGCAAGAGCAACAAGTGCTTTTAACCATTAGGCTACATTTTAAGTCACAGTTCTTTTTGGTTTTTTGGTTTTTGGTTTTTGGAGACAGGGTTTCTCTGTAGCTTTGGAGCCTGTCCTGGGACTTGCTCTTGTAGTCCAGGCTGGTCTTGAACTCACAGAGATCCACCTGCCTCTGCCTCCTGAGTGCTGGGATTGAGGGCGTGCGCCACCACCGCCCTGCAAGTCTCAGTTCTTTATGCACTTATAAAGTGCATAAACTCTTTTGGAGTGCCCTAGAGCCCAGCAGTGAAGATGGGACAAACAGACACACACACACACACACAGAGAGAGAGAGAGAGAGAGAGAGAGAGAGAGAGAGAGAGAGAGAGAGAGAGAGAGAGACTGTGCTAACCTAAGTATCCAGATAGCCCAACACTGGATGGCAGAAGCACAGATACTTTCCAGTATCTGGAAGTAACCAAAGATATGTTTGTCTCCAACAGGGGTCGCCAGAAGCCATGGGGACCAACGCCAGGCTTTTGGGAGGTGGCTCCGGGAAGGTGGCCAAGAATGTGAATGCAGGGGTCAGTAATTCAGCCTTCGCCACTGAGTTTACACCATCGTGACCCTAAACCTTCATCTCCCTTGAGCCCCTCTGAGACCAGGACAGATGTTGTCTGAGCTAACCTCAGCATCCCACCAGATGCGGCACCAGAGCTGCTTTCTCTGTAAATCAGACAGGAGTGAGATGCCTACCAGGGTCTCTGCCACCCCCACCCTGTGCCAACACTTTCCCCAAATCCCCTGTAACTTCCCAAAAGGCTTTTATTTTTTCCCGGCTCCCCAAAAGCATCTTGGGGCCCAGTCTTAGCCTGATGTTCCTCATAGAAAAGACTGAAAGCAGGAGAAGTGTTGTCCTGAAAAGACCCCTGGGCCTCATTTTTTCAGTCTTTAGTCCCACAAGGATATTTCAATGCCTCCTCTAAACATATCAGCAAATCCCTGCCCACAGAGGTCACACAAAAACAAAAACAAAAACAATAACCCTTAGAAATCCTGGGGTTCACACAGCTTGAGTTGAGGTCTCCATTGTTCTCTGTTGCCCCTTCTCCCCAGTCTGTGTGAAAGAGGCACCAGAAGGCTCAGAAGCCTTGCCAAGTCCCTACTCTCAAACATACCAATCTTCCTGTCTAGCAGATTGGTTCCTGAGAGCCTCGAAGAGAAAATCCACACCAGTGCTGGAGCCACCAAGGAAGCAGTGTCCCTGTGATCATGTCAAGGGCAGCGAGAAAAAAACCAGTAAGTATCAAGAGGATGGCCTTGCTTAAACCACCCAGTCCACTAAAGATGGAGGCAAGGCCAAGAAGACCAAGATAAACAATGCGTCAACCAGTCCCTTTCAATGTCAACTTGTAGGAACCAGAAAGCAAAAACATTACGATAGACTTATTCTGAAACTAAACAGGCTTAACCAAATTTTCTAGATTCTAGAACGGCAGTATTTCCCAATGTAAAAGGAGATGGGGAGGCTGTGAATTGCTGTGAATTGTCCATTGATTTCTCAAGACACCAGCGTCAATTCTGAACAGGATTTGGCTTTTCTTTCATCTAGCTGTTGAGTTTTGGTTGCTTGTTTTCATTTTAAACGTGTGGGTGTCTTGCCTGCATGTATTTAAGCTCACTACAGGCATGCAGAGCCCTTGAAGGCCAGAAGAGGAAATCAGATTTCCTGGGACAGGAGTTACAGAGGGCTTTGAGCCTCTAAAAAGGAAACTCGTGCTCTTAATTGTTGAGTCATCTCTCTAGTCCTACAGTCTGTTTTAAAATGTTATTATACAAAAAAGTAAATCAAGGGCCAGAAAGATGGCTCAGAAGGTAAAGGTGCTTGCAGCCAAATCTGACAACCTGAGTTCAATCCCTGGGACCCACATGATAGAAGGAGAGAACAGACTTCCAATTTCTACTGTGGCATGAGTGCAAACCTACACACACACACACACACACACACACACACACACACACACACACACACACACCACAATTATAAGCCTTTGTTTTTTAAGTTGTTGTATTTCATTTTAGTGTATGTGTGTTTACAGTAAGTAGCTCTCTCCCTCCCACCATATTCGTCTCTGGGAGTGATCTCAGGTCATAAAGTTTAGCAAATGCCTTACCTGGTGAGCCATCTCTTCCACCTTTGTTTGGCTTTTTTATTCTGATTTGTCCCCACCCCTTTGGTTTGGTTCTTTGAGACAGGGTTTCTCTGTGTAGCCCTGGCTGTCCTGGAACTCACTCTGTAGACCAGGCTGGTCTCGAACTCACAGAGATCCACCTGCCGAGTGCTGGGGTTTAAAGTGTACGCCCCACCACTCAGCTTGCTTGTCTTTCTGAGACAGATTTTCATTCTAGCCTCAGTTCACAGCCTAGGTGACCTCAGACTTACAAAGACCATACTGCTTCTGCCTCCTGCATGCTGGGATTGCAGACATGTACTGCCACAGCAGCCACAGCTCCCGATTTCAAAGGCTTACATAAAAAATTAAACTTTGAAATGTTTTTAAAGGAACTGGAGAGAGAAGGGGGCAGTTAAGAGCACTAGCTACTTTCAGAGAACCAGAGTAGTTAGGCAGTGATGGCCCTGGCCTTTAATCCCAGCACTCAGGAGAAAAAGGCAGGCTGTGAGTTTGAGGCCAACCTGATCTACAGAGCCAGTTCCCAGGACAGCCAGAGCTACACAGAGAAACCCTGTCTTGAAATAAATCATAGGAACGGAGTTTGGTTCCCAGCACACATGTCATGGGGCTCCCAACCACCTGTAACTCCAGCTCCAGGGGATTTGAAATTCTATTCCAACCCCCTCAGGTACCCACACATAAATGGCATACACACATGCAAAGTATTTTAAAGTTTTTTATGACATAATTCCCTTTTATTTGTGCCCTAGGACACCAAAAGCACCACAGAAAGCCAAACCGGCCATCCAGAACCTGCCAGCAATTTCTCAAACGATGTCAACTAGCAAGTTTTGCTCTGCCCTTATAGTTCTGAGACTATTCTCTCAGGCCAATGCTCTCAATGGAAAAGAGGTGATCAACCCTAGGGCATGTTCTTGTTCTCCCCAGCCCCATCCTCACCAAAAGCATCCCAGCACTCTCAGAAGGCACTGCCCAGCGTATTGGTGACTGTGCCCCCTACTGCCTTCTTCCCTCATCCCTTTTGATTTCAATGTGGCTTAAACAATTTAAAATGACAGAGCCTCCATCCCTCTGTTGTTGTTGTTGGGCTTTTTGTTTTGTTTTCTGTTGGTTTGGTTTGGTTTCTCGAGACAAGGTTTCTCTGTGTAGCTTTGGAGCCTGTCCTGGCACTTTCTCTGTAGGCTTGCCTCAAACTCACAGAGATCTGCCTGCCTCTGCCTCCCGAGTGCTGGCATTAAAGGCGTGTGCCACCACCGCCCTGATTTCCATTCCTCTTTTTACTCAGCTCCCAGACCTGTTCCCAGAATCTTGATGTTGGTACTTGTATTTCTTAAGTGAAATAAGATTCATGTTCCTACTTTTTTCAAACCCACAGACCACAAAGACCTTCTAAGAAACCAGATCTATTTGACAGGCTTTCTGAAACTGGCCAAGCAAAATGATGTCAAAATCTTTGACAATGTTAATGCTAACAGCAAAAAGTGTATTTATGCTTTGCTTACTTGCAGAAAAGGACCTATATAAGATTTTCTCTGTTGGAGCTGAGGGCCGCTTACATTCTTAAATTTTACCCTACAATATCTCGGTGTTTAGCTCCTAGATTTTGACACCATAACACCTATGTCTTCTGTTTACCCTAAAAGAATCAAGGAAACCCTATTGGTCTCACTTGACCATAAGGAAATTAGCAAAGAAAATAATTAAATGCATACATAATGCATGTATAGAATAGCAGTATATCAGTTATTTCAATCAAATGGTGTCTGACCACTCACATTCGATGCACACGTCACCCTTTGCCCTGATCATTCAAAATCCCATCCCAGATTCTACACACATTTCTCCCTTCTTGACCCTCTTTCTCTCTCCATTGTCTGATTCTTTATTCTTTCAGTCATGTAAGGTGCAACATCTGGATGGGACATAGAAGACAGATAAAGCACTTACTCAGATAGGAATTGTGGTTTCTTAGCATCTAGACAGTCTGGTGTTTATGATTCCTATCATCATCATCCCCATCATTATTACTGCATTCTGTGGGTTTCTATGCAATAAAGAGATATAAATGCAGAAACACAGTTCAAGGCTATAAAGACGGTATGAAGGATCTCAGCCTAAATTCAAAAGGGCTTTGACCTATAAAAATATACTTTTTAGCATGAGTATAAAATGATCAACTGGAAACTAGCTGTAAGAATTAATGAAGAGGAAACTATTATTTAAGTATAGAGACTCCTCAGGTGTTCTTCTGGTATCGGGAGCAGGGAAATACTGAACTATGGTGGTACCCACCTGTGGTCACAGAACTTGGGAAATGGAGACAAGAGGGTCAGGAGTTTGAGGCCAGCCTGAGCTACATGAGATTCCCATCTCTGTGGGCAGAGAGCACTCCTCCAGCTCATCTGGAATCACCCCAGATGAAATGAAAGACTAAATTAAGATGTCTTATGATTGGTCATTTTAGCTGAGTGGTGAATGGGGTGGGGCACTATTTGTGACACAAGAGGGCAAGCCCCTCCCTTCCTGTAAGACAGTACTGGGCACTAAGCCTCCTCCTTAGTCCTAATCCCTCTCCCCAAGTAAGAGGCACCAGTGACCACTTGGCCAGGAGCGAGGGGAGGGAGGGGGCGCAGTGATAAACCCACAGGCCAGCTCTAAAGGAAGACCAGGAATGCCAGGACGAAGGATTAGAGCCCAAAGGGAGGTGCCATCATGAAAGATCTGTGAAGAGGCAAGCCTGAGGGGTAGAGGCAGAGGGATGAAGCCTAGGAGACCAACTTCTTTCAGGAGGGAAATACCAACTGCGGAGCCAGATTCTACCTCAGTATCTAGGCCAGAATGGAAACCTGAGACTCAGCAGAGACCCATAGTCCAGCCAGACCCGGGGCCAGAAACAAACCTCACAGACCATCCAGGATCAAAGATGCTGCAGGAATTTGGAACCCCACAGAAGCAAAGTCTCCTGCAAGAGCCCATTGCCCAACATGGAGTTGAATGCCAGCAGGAACCTAGAGTCCCACAAAAATCTCCTCTGCTCCAACAAGTCCTTGCCCCATTAGCCTCCCCCGCGCCCCAGCAACCATCTCCCGTCCAGAAAGTGCACTTGGATCAACAAGAAGCCACCTCCCATTGGGGACCAGAGGCAGAAAAAGTGTCTACAACTCAACAGGACCCACAACTCACAGAAGACCACGTGTGGATGCCAGGATCTGGACCTGCAGAACCACTTCAAGCCCCAGGTGAAATGGAGGCTACACCTACAGCCCAGGCTGGACCTGGACCCCAGCAGAAATCCTCTACCCAAATTTACTCTCCATCCCAAGAGAGACCTGAACAGACAGCCCCGACAACCCAGCAAACTCCTCCCGTCCATGAAGTCAAATCCAAGCAGGGATCTTTGACGGAATCCGGGCTTTTAACAAGACTGCATGAGTTATCCATACATCGGACAGCCCAGGAGTGGAAGACATTTTTTGACTGGATTACAGAGTCTGACACAGAGGAACATTTGAGTTCATCTTCAAAGTCAAGCCTTCCAGAGCCAAAGAGTGGAACGGTGATTCTGGGAATGCCACTACCCTTCAAGAAGAAACCTGATTGTGAAAAGATGCCCGGATATGGCGGGAAAACACCACATGGGATGAAAACCAGCCTCCAGAACCACAAACACTACTGGGACACAGGTGAGTGAACCTGGAAGACTGGAACCTTCCAGGGCCAGTCACTTATTCGTGGCAAGAAATTTTTTTTGTATGTGGGGTTATAAAGCTCGGGTCATCTTTCAACAATCCTGTGAAATGAAGAGCAACAAACCCCCAGTCTGTAGAGAAGGATGCTGAGGCATAAAAATGAAGGGTTTTTGCACAAGGCCCTGCAGTTTGGAAACAGCAAACACAGGACTGAAAGCAAGGTTTTCTCCCTTTACACCAGGCTGCCCCCCACCCAAAAAAAAAAAAAACACTAGGATTTGTAGAAAATCAGATTGAAACAGGAAAGAGCCCTAACTCAAGAGTCAGGTAAAAACCTACGAGCATTCATTCATATGAGTCGGAAATAATTAATTAATTAGCTGTGGGCGGGGGCGGCTTACCTTTTGGAGCGGTGTAGACAGAGCTCAACATCCGGGCGTTCACAGCTTGCCCGGGGGGCTCGGTGCCATGGGATGGCTGATGGCGCATGGAAGCTGGGGAGAGGGGCCTGGGTAGGGCTGGGGCAAAGTCGAGGCTGAATGAGTAGAAACAGCGCGGCAGGTGCCCGCCCTGCGGGAAGGTCACGGTCCTGAGAGCGGGCAATGGTGGCCGATCACCTCCGGGAGCCCAAAAGCCCGAGCTGCTTCTCGGGACAGTGCTGTCGCTCCGTGAGAAAGTCGAGGTTTCCTAATCCCGGTGAGGCGGGAAACCACCCAGCGCCTGGTTCCAGATGCCCCTGGCACGCGCCAACCCAGGAGCGGCGGAGGAGGGCGCCGGGGAGCCGCCGCCCCCGTGCGCAGACGCGAGCCTGGGGCCTCCGCCTCCGTTTCCCGCCTTTTTCCCGGGCACGCGGGCTCCCTCGAGGGAGCGCCGGCCCTGCTGGGCAGGCGCAGCACGTCCTTCTCTCCCCCCACCCAATCGCCTCCGCCCCTTTGATGCAGAGAGGGGCAGAGAGATCTGAGGGGAGCAGCCGAGGCTCCGCGGGGGGCTCCCCGAGTCTCAAAAGCATGGGGAGAACAAGCGACGGGGGCGGGGGGAACGGAGAAAAAAGGCGGGGCTTGCCTAACGGATCCCCAGCGCGGCCCCGCCCCCAGGCCGGCCCCGCCCACGCCTAGGTGGCCCGAAGGCCTGGCCCGCCCCCCGCTGCTTCTTGCGGCTCCGCGGGCAGGTGGGCGGGCCGAGTTCACGAGAAGGTGAATGGGGCGGCGAGGCTCGGCGCCTGCCCGCGCCTGAGACGCCCGGGATGACTGTCGGGGTGCCTCTGGCGCCCCTCCTCACTATCCCTGCTCTGAGGACACTTTTCTCGCCGCCTCCGGGGTTGCATTTTTGTTGTCGTTCGCCGTGGCTGGCTGCGGTTCCTTTAACCTGAGCGAGTGGGCGGGGCAAGGCCTTCGGGCCCACCCGTGAAAGGCGGGGCCTAGCGAGGAGCCAGCCCGGGATTGGACGGTTTGGGGGGCCGGGCGGTGGTGTGTAACGAGGATTGACTCGAGCTATGGGAGGGACTCGGATGCTGGAATTGAGCCCCGCGCGGGGACTGGGAAAGAATTGATGGAGCCAGCGGTGGAATCGGGGACCGTGGGGGCCCAGGCCTCCGTGCAGGCCAAAGAAGAGTCGAAGAAGCGCAGTCGCAGGCGGTGGCGGAAAGGCAAGGTCAAAGGTGAGCCGGTAGCAGCTTCGGGAGAAAGTCCGCACATCCTGCGGGGTCCCGGGGGACGGGGTGGACTGACCCATTTCCACGACGGGGGGTTTGGGGGCGATCCGTGGACTGACCCACTGCCGCCCTGCGTCGGGGGGCGGAGACAGCCATTATTAGAAGGGGGTGATGTGAATGTCCCATCCAGACGTAAGGACTACCGGCTATGCCAGAGCGGTGTTGGGAGAAGTGTCGGAATACGAGTCGGTCGGAATAGATCGGGTTCCCGCTCGGGTTCGTTATTCTCTGTGTGAGCAGGAGCAACAGTTGCGCTCTTAGTTTTTTCAGCCTGGGAAATGGTTCAAACGTCGATTTTTCATGTCTTCTGCACTCTTAAGAGGATAATGGGGAAGGATTTTAGCCGCTTTTGCCGAAAGAGAAACCGGTATAGATGTGTGAAAGGTAGGTGGGAGGGGCACGGGTAACTGGAAAAAGCTCCTCACAGCCCCTTCTTCCACGGCCAGTCAGTCTTCCCGTTTGCTCGTTGGCAATCAGCCCAGTGACACTGGGCTTGAAGCTCCTGGTTCTCACGACTTCCACAATAGAGCTTTTACGTTGGCTTTGCACCTTCCTTAGGGAGAGGGGAGGCCTAATGGCTACTGTCTAGCTTCCCTGGACCTAGAAGGCTAGAGAAACAGTGGCAGACCAGCCAAAGATGTTGCGAGGCCCAGTCGGAGCCGGCAC